GTTTGGTATTTTAGTTAAAGCGCATTTTCGTTATTTGGCTTAATCAATTTTTTTATTCTATTGATTATCTCAATGTATTGCTAATATTGATATCTTCGTTGGTAATTGCTATTTTTATAATGAAGTAAATATATACAGTATAAGTTTAAACCCACATTGATCATGTAGAGGTAGCGTTAAATAAATTTACCATAATATTTAAATTTTTTGTGACCGAAATTCACTTTTACAGACCCGCCTTGTGATCTAAATCCAACACAGGGATATAAAATGCCTTTCCAATTATCAGGCAGATTGCACGCAATTCCTTGAGATATATTATAGTATTAAATTTCTATCTTATCAGAATTTTGGAAATTAAAATTTAGTTCCTAAGGCGATAATTACCCAAATTAATCCCATTTTTAGTATAAAACACTATCTTATTTATGAAATTTAAATAACATCCAATAATATCACCGGTAGTATATGTTGGTCCATACGGTTTTACACTTCCAGAACAAAAAAAATGTCCATCATCACCATAATAGCCACATTCCCACGATTCATTTTTCTTATTTTCTTCATTTTTTGCATTTTCGTTATTTTCATTATTTTCTTGTCCTAAAAATATTATAATATGCTAATATGTAATAATAATAATAATAATAATAATAATAATAATAATAATAATAATAATAATAATACCAAGCATAAGCATATTCTTTATATAATCTGTTTTTTCATTTGAATCGTCTATTTTTTTAGCATTTTGTTTTGTACAATATCCAATTCCAATCATTCTATTAAAAAATAGAATCAAATAATAATTAAAAAAAAAGATTGCAAGAATAAAAGTGATGTTTATGGCATAAAATAATTATTAGGATTACCCATTTTCCCCTCTATTTATAATTTCAATTTCAAAGTAAAATATTCTACATCGTAAAGGGATTGAATGATTCGCTCGAACTATAGTAGCTTTATAATCATTAGGATCTTTAATTGAAAAGTTTTTAATAAATTAGTAAACAGTGTTATTTACGATACACTCATCAAATCGAGATGTTAACCCAATAAAATATGTTTCTACAAAGATTCCCATTTCCATATTACCCATATAATTCACTTTAAGACCACTTGAATCTAGTTTAATAAATGGTAATTTATTTGATATCCAATGCTGTCGTTAAAACATCATCATTGTGTGAATCTTCCATTGGGTTAATATTCGCAGATGAGAAGCTTGAGAGAATCTTCAATGTGGCAATTATTTTGTTTTTTTTTTTTAAAAAAATTAATAAAATAAATAAAATAAAAATAAAATAAAATAAAAAAACAAAAAAAAAAAAAAAAAAATTTAGGATGGTATAAAATTTTAAACTAAATGGTCTCTTATTTAGGCTTTTTGATAGGGACTGACAATTAGTGAGCAGAAATCACATAGAAATTTACGTATCAGTTATAGAATTATATGTACGCACATAATGCATGCTGATGCAAGCACAATGCATATAGTATTAACTAGTGATGCAGGAGAATTAATTCAATAATTCCAAAACGATCTATAATTGTAAATCGGTTTTGGAATTATTTCTACACATTGAATTAAAAAAAAAACAAATAAATTTTACATATTTTAAAAATTTAAATAAATTTTTATATAAATTTTAAGTAGATATGTCGTACGTCGGAATGGAATTATTGTAGATTTAGAATCCACCTAGGCTGGTTCTGAATAAACATAGATTGTAATAGAATTCTAAAATGTGCCCGAGTTGTTAAAGAATTCCAATTCAAATTACAACAAAATTATGTGTATCCCAAATTATTTCATCGAGTATGTTGTTTTGGAATTTAAATTACTTTAAGATAGGATTTATTCATAATATAGTACATTGCAAATTAATTTAAAAGCATGACACGTAATTTTTGCATCAATTATTAGTGGGATAGCAACTATTCCTACAAGGTATATTTATTTTAACATTTGCAGCGATTTTGTCTCATGCATTTTTGCAATTGCATTTAATATTACTTACTTGCAGTGTTGAAATTTCGGCACAAAAATGCTGTGTAAAAAGATTTTTTTATACACGAATGTTATTTTATTTTTGTGCATACTGCACATTAATTGTTAATTTTTGTACAAAAAACAATACATGCACAACGAATTTTCAACACCGCTTACTTGTGAAGAGGATTGCATAATAGATGCTTTTCGAATGTCTATGAGCATTGAAAAAATACTATTTTAATCACGTATTTTTTGCCAAATAACGATTTTTCGCATCCCCATTTTTCATATTGTTGAATCTTGTAAAGCCTTAATGCAAAAGCAAAAGTCATCACATAAGGTTTAATGTTGCCTAGTTGCCGACTCATTACTAAGCTTTTGGAAGGCAATTCTTTGAATTACGGGGTAAAAGTGGATAATCTTAATATTCTGTCATCAGATAAGAGAGTTGCAAAGAATGAAAAATGAAATTAAAAAAAAAAACAAATAATAAAATATTTTATTTTATTTTGATAATATTATGATTATTACAGTATTGAATTTAAATAAAGTTGCTATTAAATTTTATCAATATATAGTACCAAATATAGGATTGACTTATGTTGCTTTTAAATTTCATATCAACTTAGACTACATTTGGAATTCCATTCTAACCTAAGTAGATTCTAAATCTACAATAATTTTGTTCCAATATACAACAATAATTCGAAAGATTTTTATTTACTAGATCAAGGATATCTCATGATCCAATGGTCAGAATTTGATGAAGCTTATAACATTTGATTTTTTCATAGAGACAAATCTAATGGTATAAAAATTATCAAACTCTACCAATTTGATCGTAAGATATCTTCAATCTTTTATAAAATTTGTTTCTAATATAACTTATTAAATATTGTGATTATTTTTGATTAATTTTAATAAAATGTGGGCTTTCATGAGTTCTTCTTGCTACTTTATTTTTTTAATGTATTTAATTGGTAGTTCTTGAAAGATTACCAAAATGAAAAGTACTTTAACGCCTATAAAAGAAAAATTTTTTATTCAATTATGATGATCATCACCAAATTTGGGTTTGTTCACCATGCTATTTTTACTACTATAAGATAATTTATAATAACCAGCTTCACCTATTAATTAAATCTAAATGACAAAATGACAAAATTGATAAAAGACAATGAAACTAATGAAAAGTGATGAAACTGATAAAAAGTGATGAAACTGATGAAAGGTGACAGACTGAAAAAAAGGTGTGACAAAATATGTGAAGCTGACAAAAAGTGAGACTGACAAATGTGTGAAACTGACAAAGGGTAGCAAAATTGATGCATTTAAAATATGTGGCAGGTTTATGTGATAATAAACCCAATATATAAAAAAATAAATTAAGAATTTTTTACTACAAACTTTGATGATCAATAAATATTTATTTATCAAACTGGTAAAAAGAACCAACATGAAAAAAAAAGAAATAATGACAAAAATTAGAAAAAAAAAATAGAACACACATGAAACACTCATAATAATAAAAAAAAATATGATAGTAATACAATATACAGTCAGACCTCCCTAAATGCAACCCCCCTAAATGCAACACCTCTTTAAATGCATGATAGAAGACTAGTCCCATAATGGGATTTATAGATAAATGAACGTTCTTTATTCTGCAATTGCACGCTAATTGCCTGGCCCACTTATAAAAACTCCCTCCATAAATGCAACCACGTGATTATTGGCCAATCAAATTCATCATTTCTAGGCTACTAAAGCTATATTTATCACATAATAATAGTAACATTATTATTTTATTAGTGTTCTCTAATTGCAACCCTCCCTAAATGCATGCTCTAGAGCTAGTCCCGACGATTTGCATTTAGGGAGGTCTGACTGTATATAAATATAATAATCAAGGAAAAGCAAATAAAAATTATAAAACATCAATTAAAACACACTAGATATTTGTGCATAAAATATTACAGGCTTTATATATGCATAGCTTCTAGATTTAAAATATACTAACATTCAGAAGTTAAATCACAAAAATCAGATTGAACTGGTTGGTAAAATTTTTAATCAGTTGATCTGTTACAATTGGTTATAATATGTAATCTGAATAAAAGGATCAAATATAGTATGTAAGTGATACTAAAGGAAATAGTAACTATTTAGAAAATTTCTGAAAAGAAAATAAATGAACTTAAGTTCGAGGAAAAATCAAGTAAACTTTCAAGATTTTTCAAGGTAAAACAAATTGGCCAATTTTAGCCTACCCAGAATCTTAATTGTTGTAGTAATGCAAACAAATAGCTTTGGCTCTGTTACACATCACTATAATAGAGCTGTGCCATTTTTGAGCTAAGCTGCATTTTAGCTGAGCCGACAAGAGCCAGCTTTAATTTTATTATCATTATCATTATAAAAAAAAACTAAATTTAGTGTAAATACATGTATTGTACGTACAAATACCTCTAGAATTCATAATTTGCAAGTTTGTAAAAACATAATATAGAAATGTATAATTAAAAATAATTTTTTAAAATAATAAAAAAAAACTTTTAAAAAAACATTTTTTTTTAAAAGAAAAAAAAATTTAAAAAATTTTTTTAAAAAAAAATTTATTAATCTCTTTGAAATCTAATGACATGTTCCAACTATAAGCTAGTACACATTAGTGCTTGTACGCTTTTTTCTAAAAGACATACATGTATAGCCTGAACAGTATTGCCTGCTTTCAAAAATATTTGTTCAGAAAATACTAATATAGCCTGAATTGCAAGAAAGTCTTTATCCATTTATAATATGTCTAAAAAATGAACACTATTGAGTTTCTACTATTCCAAAGAATTAATGTTAATTGGTAAGGTAGCTTCACTTAAATATTGAGAAAGTTTATCCATTTGACTTGAACTACTTAAAACATTAACTTGCTGTTATTTTTGAGCCACTTTTTCTATATATATTATTGAATTTAACAATTTTCTAGCATTTGAAGCCATATTAACATTTAGTTCAAGCACTGATAATCTTGAAAAATATCATTAAAAAAGTCATAATTTTTAGAAATGTTCATATTAATTGATATTAATTCAAGTTTGATTTGATGATCAAGAACTGAAGCTATAAAAGCTGCTTTATTGTATATATAAACTATATATTGATTAAGTTTTTTCAACATTTGTGTTGCAGCAGTTTTAAGAAATAAAAGGCTTAAAGAATCTTGTATACATGATCTAATAACATCAACAATATCATTCATTAAAAAAATAGAAAGTTCCAATGTTATATATATACTATTAGAAAGTATTTTAGTAACTTCATAAAATGGTTGTAAAAATTGAGTAACAACTTGAAGATCAAAATCTTCTTGTGGCGTAAGCTTATAATAAGCAAGATTATTATGATACCTCATAACTACTGCTATCATTGTAAGCATTTATGTATAAACTAATAATATAAGGTAAGTACTATTCCATCTAGTTGATACATTCTGTGAAATTTTGCAAACTACTTCACCTTCATCAACTGATTGTCCAATTTCTTTAAAATCTTGAATAATTGTAGATGACAATGTAATAGCCTTCACAAATCTACACACTTTTTCAATTGATGTTTTAATTGGTGTCATTCCTGCCATTACAATGAGATGCAAAACATGTGCAAAACAATGATGTGAATAAAAATTTTGTATAAATAAGTGCATATTTAATAACCGAATTGCTGAAATAACATTAGATCTATTATCCTTAGTTGCACAAATGATCTTTATAGTAATCTTAAATGTTGCTAAAATAGATTCTAATTTTGTTTTAATATCCTTACCGACAGTGTATAAAATCTATGTATACAATGTGCTTATGAGCATATGTTTTTAAAAGTTTTCACATGTTTTTAGCTAGAAATGTGCATGAAATTCATAAGATTTCTAGCCACTTAATGCACCAAATTTATTAATAAAATCTTAACTATGTGCATATAGAGCACATTGTATTATAGGCTATTTTTATATATGTAAATTAAAATAGATATTTATATAAAATTTTTTATAGTATTATAAAAATTTATAGTGCATTAATTTTTAAATTTATTCACATAAATTAAGTATACAATATGCACAATATTCACATGTTTTTGAGGTAAGATTTTATACACTGCTCACTAGTATGTGAATGTAGTAACATATACATATTAACTAAAATTTTTTTTAAGTTCCAATTACTGTCAATCCACTGTGTGATAACACCAAGAAAGGGCATATTAGCATGAGAAGTCCAGATATCTAATGTAATTGAAATCCGACTAGGAATTTGCTCAAAAAGGGCTTGAACATCATTTCTCATTAAAATAAAAGAGTTTTGTACAATCAGCTTGATGGTTTCATGTAAAGGTAACTCAAGAGTGGCATTAAGAAAGTGCAACAATGCAATTAATGCTTTACTTTCAATAGTTGAAAATGGTAAGGTATCCGAAACAATCTACTCAGCCAATAAAATATTAGATTGTGCTTTTTGATCAATGGTTAAAGTTTGTACTAAAACTGCATTATTTTGCGTAAGCGCAAAAAGTTCAATCGTGCTCCACCCTGGGTGTTGTATATCAAGATGCTTGCGTAATGTGCCTGTTGCTGTTTTTTTGCTGAATTCATTTTGCAAATAGCACAAATAACTGGAGAATTAACATCATTCTTTGTTTTTTTTGTAAAATATGGTGTGACTATGGATGGTTTTCTATTTCTAGCAACTAAAGAAAAGGAAGTAATGCCTGTGCTTGAACTAGCTATATTGTTATCAGACATATCTTGTAAAAGATCTTGGGATTCTGGTGAATTATTACAATAAGAGTCGTTAAGATCCATTTTGACATTTCAAAGTAAAAAAAAAAAAGAAGTTATTTATTGTATAATAAACGAAATTATTAAATATATCATCATCGGTATAGTTTATTACAGTTTATCATTAATTTTAATTACAGTATGTAATTACGTTAGCGATAGCTTTGTGATCGGCTTACGGCTCTAAACAACTCACATAACACAAGCCGTGCCATCATTAGCCGAGCCGTTCTGTAACCGAACCGATAAGAGCTGCGGCTAAGCTGATCAGCTCACGGCTCTGCAGAGCCATTTTGCATCACTAATTGGTTGTAACCAGTGTTGGCTGTCATAGCATTTTTTTACTATATGACCTTGGTCATATAATCATATGACTTTTGGTCATAGTCATATTGGTCATATTAAATGCTAATAAAAAAAACCTTTACTATAATTCTAACTATATTAAAAAAGGTCATAAGTCATATCAATCTTCAGTATGACCGAATTACCTATGACAGGTCATAAAGGTCATATAGATCATTTTATATCATAGGCTAACACCGGTTGTAACTGGTTAACCATGATTATTTCGGTTTGGTTAACTGTTGAAGATTTTTTTTCTCGGTTCAGGTCACTAAAACATCCAACATTATATATTCTTTATAAAAAACTTATACTATACTATTATTATAGATTGTATCCGTTTGGAAAACTTCTATCTGTGCATTATCAAATTACCCGGGCGGGTACAACTACTAATTCTTATTTAGTATATAAAATTTTGCTAGTTTTTGTTTTTATATAATTTTTTTGATAATAAATAAATGCCATATTTTCATCTTTCATCTCCAATTTCGTTCTTATGATAATATCCAACAGGACAATAATTAAAAGTTGAAAAATTTTTCAAACCCAAGTGTGCCTCACCTGAACCATCCCAATCAAGAATTATTTTATTAAAAAAAACCACAATTTTTAATTATACAAAATACTTCATTGTAAAAGATTAATTTGCAATATTTTTTTTTTCTGTTTGATTTTTTATTCAGAAAATTAAATAATTACGATTACAATTTATAAATCAAGCCATATTGTCAAATTTCAGCTAATTTCTTATAATAAATAAAAGCCTTATATTCGTCTTGTTCAACCCCGATTCCATAGAGATAACAATAACTGACTTCTTTTAATCCATCAGCATCACCCATTTCGGCAGATTTTTGAAAATAAGTGAATGCCTTATATTTGTTGTAAGTCGATTCAGGATTATGTTGATTCAGAATCTACTTAAGTGGATTTCGAATCCCGAAATGACTCATGTAGATTTCGGATCATTAAAAATTGATCATTAAAAAATCACTTGATGCAGTAATTATTTAATTAATTATAACGTGCATTAGTAATTGTATTTTACAAAAGTTTCTTCATTCAAAATGTCAACCCAAGAATATTCCTTTATTTCGAGAGAAGCTTTTAATGATTTAATCAATAAATTCCTTAAAAAAAAACACCGGCTAGACACCGTAAAACCTTTATTTCGCAAGATGACTACAATCTTATAATTGCAGTACTTCATGACCCTACCAATACATCTTTAGGAACACCAAAAAATCGATTTTGGATTAAAAATTCTTTTCAACTTCGTGAATTAGGAACTGAAACAACTCCAAACACCCAAATTATTACTGTTGCTAAAGATGAAAATGGGTTGGACTTAATACGTACAATATGTCCATTTAACCGCCTTTATGATACATTATGTAAAGTTCATATGAGTGTTTTGAAACATGTAGGGGCATCTAAAATGTGAAATGTTGTAAGTAATGTTTTATTTATAAATTTTTTACTATAATTAGAAATTTTTAATAACGACTTAATTTTTTAGATTGGAAAGCAGTATGATTATATTCCTCAGTTATTTATAAGAGAATTTTGTGGTGCTTGTAAAACATGTGCTACACATAGATCTTTTCCTAATGCTCTTGCTGCCAAACCAATCGTAGCATCAGGTTTTCTTACTTGTGTATAGATAGACTTAGTTGGATTAGCATTCCAACCTGTGGGTAATTACAAATATATCTGTCACATGCGTGACCATTTTACCAGGTTTTCCTGGGCTCAATGTCTTACAAGTAAAAGTGCCTCAGAAGTAGCAGTATTCCTCTTTGATATTTTTACTGTATTTGGAGCTCCAACTATCTTGCAGTCAGATAACGGAAAGGAGTTTACTGCAAATCTTATTGCAGAATTATTAACTCTTTGGCCAGGAATATGTATTATCAATGGATGACCAAGACATCTGGAATCACAAGGGATGGTCGAAAGAGCCAATGGGATTATGCAGATCAAACTTGGAAAGTAGATGGAGGATAACAAAACAAATAATTGAACGGAAGAATTACCGTTAGTTATACGTATGTACATGTGATAATTTATTTTTAATTAACATTGATATGATTTTACAAAAAAAAATT